CCTGAAAATGCTGAGTTCTGTGAAATCTCGTACTCAAAACAACAAAGTTTGTGGACAAAATACAGTTGGCATAAACCATTCAAAATCTATAGACCTTGATAATTAGAGCACCACCAAAATAAATAACTAGCCCAATTAAAAAAGACATGGCAAATACCTAATAAAAGGACTATAGTAAATATGGGATTAAAACAAGTCAAACTATTTTGATGAAAAGGACTTTTGATAAAATATGGTCACAGTTTTTTTTGTTATTCCTCCCATTTAGAAGTAGAATCTAGCTCCCTGTCCTTGAATCTCAGCTGGCCCTAGTAACTTGCTTGATCAACAGAATGCAGCAAAAGGGATGTTCTAGTACTTCTGAGGTTAGATCATAAGAAAACTTGGGGCTTCCACCACAGACTTTGGGAATGCAGTGGTTGAGAGACGTCAACTGCTCTGTATGAAGTTCCACCACCTTGAGATTAACATGCTATGAGGAAGCCTGAGCTATTCACATAGACAGGACAGAGAGAAACAAAAAGAGTGAGAAATAGAGAAACCCAGCCAGTCCTCAGCTCTTCCAGCCCCCAGTCCACTGTAGTCATCTGAATTGAGGTTCCAGATACTGTGAGGCAGAGAGGAGATGTTCCTTCTAAGCCCCACCAAAATCACCAGAACAATGGCAAATTACATATTTATGTTGTTTTAAACCACTAAGTTTTGGGGTGGTTTGTTATTGCAGCAATAGATAAATGAAACATAGCTGAAAGGAAGAGTTGTGATTGTTGAATTATGGCAAAGAATGCAAAATCCACAGTGATGGGGAGAAGCAGCCAATCAGATAAACGGAGCCAAGGAGAAGACTTTGGGAGGATTGTGTCCACACCCGTAGCTCTGCTGTCTTCTGCTATATTAAGTGTTTTACTTTCAGTTGATGTTACTTGTTGGCACAAAATATTAAAATGGTAGAAAAAAATCACATTTAACTGAACACAACTTCTGCATTATATTGATATCCTTGCTCTAATTACTAACAGCATATAAGCTAGTTTCATCACACAGACCCCACACGCTACCCCTTGATAGCCACAGCCACCATTCTCCTCCACTCTCCTGAAAGCTTGACAACCACGAAACTGTTCTGTATCTATAATTTTCTCATTTTGAGAATGTCATGTAAATGGAGTCATGTAACTGTTTGAAACTGGCTTTTTTTTGATTTAGCATAATTCCCTTGATATACACCAGAGTTGCTGCATGTATCAATAGTTTGCTCCTGTTTGCCTTTTTGTTGCTGAGCAGTATTCAATGGTATGAATTTACCGCAATTGGTTTAATCACTCACTTGTTGAAGAACATTTGAATTGTTTCCAGTTTTTGGAACATTTGGGCATGGGTTTTTGTATAAACATAAGCTTTCATTTCTGACCCATATAAACTATGAGATAATAAATGTTTGTTGTTTTGGCTACTAAATTTTGGAGTAATCTTTTATACAATAATAGATTAATTGTCTTTGTTAGTTTGGGCAGCTATAACAAAGATACTACAGACAAGATGGCTAAAACAATAAATTTATTTCTCACAGTTTTGGGGGCTGAGAAGTCCTGAGATCAAGGTGCCAGCAGATTTGGCATCTGGTGAGGGCCACTCCCTGTTGGCCATCTTCTTGCTATGTCCTCACATGGCAGAGAGAGAGAGAGAGAGAGAGAGAGTGTGTGTGTGTGTGTGTGTGTCCACGCGCGCGCTCTGGGCTCTTCTTTTTATTACAAGGGAACCAATTCCATCATGGGGCTCCACCCTCATGATCTCATCCAATCCTAAATACCTTCCATAGCCCCATCTCCAAATACTTTCACATTAGGGATTAGGCTTCAATATGTGAAGGGGGAAGCACCATTCAGTCCATAGCAGTAATTAATACTACTAGTTACATATTTCTCTAGGACATACTATACAGTATAATCAAATGGCTTTTTTCAGCAAATGGGTAATGTGAGAGAGCTAAGCAGAAAATGATTTAAGTAACTTTTTCTGAAGCTACTAGGATGTACACCATATACATAGCTATTATTATTCCAGGTGCATAGGCGAGAAGGTGATTCATTAGGCACAATGGATGTCCTAGAGTACTAGGGTTTGATTCTCTCAGTGAACTCTGGGTGAGAAGAGCTGGAAAGTGCTTAATTGCACAGACACTGGAGCTAGATTTTATAGGTTCAAATCCAGGCTTTACCTGTACTTCCTAAAAAACCAGGGACAAAGCACTTGCTCTTTCTGTGCCTTGGTTTCCTCATCTGTAACAGGGTACAGTAACATTACTTACCCTCTTCTTAAGAGTTGTTCTGAGAACTAAATGAATTAATAGAGATAAGGCATAATGTCCAACCCATAGTAAATGTTATTTGAATGTAAGTTATTATTACTATAAAAAATGAACTATTAAAATGTTAAATCTTTGTTAACAGATCACCTAAATCACCTTGCATTATATTAGTGTATATTCCAAACTAACCGAGATGATAAATGACTCCCTTTCCCATGCTACTTCCCTTGACTGAGGTTCTTCAAAAAGCTGTGTTAAATCTTTTAAGCTGCTAGAACAAAAATCAATTAGAAACTGCCCCTGCCTAGGAAGAGCCTTAGTAACTGCCATCCCCCAAGCCTGCAGGGGTGAGTGGGGAGAATAATGGGTTCGCAATGGGCAGCGAGGAAGGGGGACCATAAGAGAGCTTGGTGCCTAGAATTTCTCACCGACCCCCACATGAGCTCTTGGGAGGAAAAGCAGCATAAAATGTCTACCTCTTTCTGTCTCCATTTTTCCTTAGCACTGCTTCCAAACTTTAAATTAAATAGAAATTAAACTCCAAACTGAATTGACCTAAACTTCCAAGTTTATAGCACAAGTTCATTGTAAGCTTGAAAGAGATACTAGTGCATTGCTGAGAGCCTGACTCCTGGAGGGCAATTTTATACACAGGGGGACTCTGGCCCAGGGCCCTAATATAATAACGATTATACATTAACTGTACCTAGTTATCTGTAATATAAGAATAATCCTATGATTTAACTCTGATAATACTTGTTGTGTGGATGGGAGCCATGTTACAACTGTGTTTGCAAAGAATTTTAAACGAACCCTACTGTGGGCAGGGCCCTTGGTGGGCGCTTGAGTGCTAGTTTGAAGGGAAAAAATGTGTGTAAGAAGCATGTGATGTTTTTGCAGTGGTTTGAGGGCTGGGTTTGGTAATTATACTCTCCAATGCGAAAATCCAATGTGGCATAATGAAAAACACACCTCTGTTCTGCTTCCAAAACTAATTCCAAATACAGGACAGTCTTCGCGCAGGCTGATTGTATTCCATAAAGTGTGCATTTGCTCCATTTCTGTGTCTATAAGAGCACAGGGACAAAAATGAGATGCCACAAAAACGGGTACCATCTCCTCCCTTCGATTCTTGTTAACTCTCTTCCTCTGAGCTACCCTCTTCATCACTCTTATTGCTCAATCGACTTATTCGAAAAACACATGCAAAACCACTTTTAATAGAAGGAAAAGTAGTCATGTGGGTAGCAAATCAACTGTGCAGTTCAAATCATTATTACAATAAAATATTGTTTATTAAGTATCCTGCAGAGTTATAAAAAGGATAGTTTGAATTGGGTAGGAATAAAAGCCAGCAAGGTAGGGGGAGTATATAGCTCAAGTGGTAGAGCACATGCTTAGCATGCACGAGGTCCTGGGTTCAATCCCCAGTACCTCCGTTAAAAACAAACATAAATATGTATCCCCCTCACTGACAAAAAAATAATAAAATACTGCAATAATAAAAACCAGCAAGGAATTACACAGCTTAATGTGCAAGTCTTTTTTTTTTTTTTTGCTATAAAATTCTTGTCCAAGCTCGCTCTGCAACATTGAAAATTTTACAACAGGAATTCAAAGGAACACAAATTTGTCTCATGGACTTTGAACCAAATGTTATGAACATTTATAACATCTTTTTTCCCTTATCTAATAGGATTTGTTAATCAAGAAAGGGAAGACATTTTCAATGCTTTTTGTACAAGAATCAATGGGTATAAAAATATCAAGAACTCCCCTTAGCTGCCTACACAGAGGGCTCATATTGTTCACTGTTTATATGTTGCTGAGGGTCTTATCAACTAGGTTATAGGGCATTATTGTCTTAATAGTTACTCAGTGGAGAAATTTCTCTCAGAACTCAGTATCAGGAGTGATTGAAAAAAAAGTTTCACTTTTTAAAAAAAAAATGTTGGGGGGAAGAGGTAATTAGGTTTATGTATTTATTTTTAGAGGAGGTACTGGGGATTGAACCCAGGACCTCATGCATGCTGAGCATACACTCCACCACTTGAGCTATACCCTCCTCTCTGGTTTTACTCTTTTTGCTTTTGATGCTAGGCAGCTCAAATTCCTGGCCTTATTTCACAACTTGTACTGAATTTCTGAGTATGAATTTTGTGTAATAAAATTATCCCTAGTTTTATCTTATTCGTCCTACTCTAATTTTTCCTTTTCCATAATTTCTTCATCTACTCTTTTTATCTTGCACTACAGTTTTGAAGGCAAGCAATCTCCAATCCATGGCTTGAATTTCTAAATAATGTGTCTAGAAAAAGAAATGACTGTTATTTCTTCAGCAGTTATGCTGACCAGAGAACAACCATTCACTGCTTTCCTCACCATGTGACACCCTGCAGAAGATATCAGTGTCGTGTCCTGAAATTCCCACTAATGCTAGGCAGTCAATGAGACTGACAGGCTGCTACATCTGCTTTCTTGGCACTGCATGACACAGACCCCAGGATTTAAGTCACCATGGCTGGAACCTACCCTGGCTTCAGTGCCTAACGAAGACTATCATATGGTATAGGTGAGCAAACGGTAGATACAATCAAAACAACATCCTGGATGTATTTCGGTTTATCTTTTTTTGCCTCAACAACTATTGCCATTTATTGAATTCTTACTGTGGTCCAAATACTTTTTCCCCCAAAATATGGAATGCTTCATGAATTTGCACATCATCTTTGAACATGGGCCATGCTAATCTTCTCTATATCGTTCCAATTTTAGTATACATGCTGCTGAAGCGAGCACTATTTTGGTTTATCTTAAACATTCCAAGTAGGTTCTAACATCAAAAATTTGTTTTACAAATACAGTTGCCTTTGGTTTGGTTGGTTACTTTCTTCCCTGATATGCCTTGATAGGATTAATGTTTCTTTTAACCCTAGTCTCCCCGTATCCTATTTCCCTTACCTCTTAATAAATCATTGAACTAGAAGAATTTTTGCTCTTCTTGAGTATTACCTCCAAAACAAAACCATGAAAAGGCAGCTATAAGGCCAAAACCAAACCAAACAGCAAATAGCAAACCCAAATTCCCCTGTCACCACCAGCAGCAGCATCATAAGCCAAGTTAAAAGACAAATAATAAAATGAGAAAAATATCTGCAATATTAGAACACAGGTCAATTTTGTTAATATATAAATATTTAAGAAGAGTCAATAAGAAAACAAAATCCCAGAAGAAAAATAAATTAAAGGCGTGAAATGGCAGTTGACTAAGAATACAAATGAACAAAGACATATGAAAAAAATTTAATTTTGCTAGCTATTTTTATTTTTAATTTTTTTAGTTATTTTTAATTACAAATTAAGATGTATTGAGAGTTTTCTTGCTTATCAGAATGGGGGAAAAATTAAAAGAATTCTAAAATTTTAGTAAACAGGAGTCCTATAAAAGGGATAAGGTCAAACGCAATAATCATTTCATTCTTGCAGATCCATACAGTGTAGACTCTCCCTGAGGACACCTTCTCTTGCTACTCATACTCCAGGACTGGCCTGTTTCAGTATCTACCTTCCTCCCTTTCCTGTTCTCATCTCCTTTGTCACAGTGCCTCCCTGCACTCCTTCCTTCACCCCTTGCTTTGCCTCTCCTTGCACTTTCTTTCTTGTTTCTCAGGCTTCTCTCTTGATTTCTTAAATTTTCCTTCCTTACCCTTGGCTCTTTTCTTCACGTGCTCTGCCCCGCATCTCCCTTCCAACCTTGGTGCTTTTTGGCAGACAGATCCTTGCCTGATCCCTCATACAATCTCTGCCTAACCCTGGGCTCTTATCTCAGAACCTGGAACCCCACCACCCAGCAATCCACTTCCCTTGTTAGGATATAAAGACAGGCAGTTTGTTCCCTTATTGAGAGGGATTTGGGGCATTAGAGGACGAAGCAGTTTGGCAGACAAGCTTTTCAATCTCCACGTGGGTACTGTGAACAGGGATGGGAAAGCAGGGGTTTTAGCACTCAGGACTCTGTCTTACGGCTGAGACAGGATGGTTCATTGCTCACTTCTGCTTAGCTTCCTGTCTGGGACTTGTGGCTAGGCTGCTCAGGGTAATCTGCTTCTCCATGAAAAGAAGCAGCTCTGCATTCATTCAAGCCTTTAGCAAAAATGTATCTAGTGCCCACTGTGAACTGAGCTGTTAGGGGTGGTACAAGGTAACTGCGCAGTCCTTTGAGCAGCTCAAAGCTCTCTGTGTTTCACGGAGAAAGAGAATTGGGGTTGCCTCTCCCTCAGTCCAATGAAATAAGCCTGGTGCAGAGAATGATGCCTTCCAACTCGCAGCGATGAAAACACCTTCTCCCTGGATGTCTCAGCCAAGAGAAGGGAGCATGTGGACTCCACGTGGGGACTAAGTCTGAGGTCTTCAGAAGAACTTCCAGCACCAGTTAGTTCCCTGTCTTCCTCCCTATTCTCAGTTGATCCTGAAAATGCTAGGTTTGGCTTTTTAAAAGACTCAGTGCTGTCCTTTACATGCACTGCTTATGCATTTATATCAAACCAGCATGCAGGACAAAGATGATTATGCACAACATTAAATACGTGCCAAACTAACCTTGTTTATACGTTATATTTTATTTCATCTCTCAGCTATATTCTCCTACATTCAATCATTAGACTTTTTACTCATGTAGTGTGCTTTGTACTCAAGTTTGAACAATTAGAAGAGACAATAGTCTATTGTGCATTAGATCAAACAGATTTCAGGAATAGTAACCACAGAATAGTATATTTTATATTCTTGGTTTGGTTCTCTGAAAAGAGACTCTTTTACGATTTACGTCAAAAGAATGAATATATAAACTATTCCTTCTACAGTTTCATCACCTTTGCCAAATTGTCAAATGCATGCCCTCGATAATGTGGATAACTTAGTCAACAAGTTTCATTATGCTTCTAAATGGAAATGTTCTGGAAAAAAAAATTAAAAAGAAAATCTATTCCTTCTAGGTACAATTTACTTGCGTAGGCATTTAATAGAATACCTGCTCTCATAGATAAAGAATCACTAAATGATTTGAGTTATGTAATTATACACTATACATATATATATACATATATAAAGAAAAGAGAAAGGAATGTACCAAAACCCAGTTGCTACCACAACTGTATATGATCTAAACTTTCTTGAGTCTTGAATATTTATCCTCAAACCTAGTCTTTACATTTGAACATGTAACTACTTCCATTTCTTTATGGTTGTGGAAGAATTTTAAAACATATGTTTAATCACTAGACTCTATTACACAGGATTTTTAGATATTGTGAAAAAATTTTCCTATTTCTCTTTCACATAACTGAATTTTTATTTGCTTGTCACTTAGTAAAATGTGGGGAGAAGATAAGATGAGGGTTTATTTTTTAAATTTATTTTATTTATTTATTTTTAACAGAGGTACTGGGGATTGGACCCAGGACCTCGTGCAAGCTAAGCACGTGGTCTGCCACTGAGCTATACCCATCCCCCAAGCTGAGGGCTTAGTCTCTGCTGGAGATCTATTGTGCTTCTTAAGATGTGTTGTATGTTTGGTGAAGTATTTTGGAACGTTTATACAACTATGGCTGTAAAGTTCCTGGGGCCAAGGACTGGATCCTCAGTGCATAGCCCCTGGGCCCAACATACAAAAGTAGTTCAAGATATATTTCTTGAATGAAAATTCTACATAGTGATTCATTCACTCATGTAGCCAACCAAACCAGCTTACCCAGTCAGTGTCATTGATTTTGTTGCCTTATTTAAATATAATTTATATTTGCAGATACTACTATATATGAAATAGACAAACAACAAGTTTCTATTGTATAACACAGGGAGCTATATTCAATATCTTGTAGTAACGTATAATGAAAAAGAATTTGAATAGGAATATATGTATATATATATGTATGACTGAAACATTATGCTGTACACCAGAAATTGACACACTGTAAATAGACTATACTTAACTAAAAAAAGCAATAAATAAAAGACTAAATATAATCTATAAAGTGGAAAGTCAGAATGAGGGAAGGGATAGAAAGATTATCACTGTTGAATTGTAGTGAAAAGATAAAAACTTTTGGTACTATGAAGAGCATGCTTTCTAAACTTTTGAATCCCTGAATAGCAGCAAGGAGGGGTAGGTGGGTGGAAACTCCAAAGACAATAATTTTAAAACAAAAAACAAACTAGTCCTTTAATTATAGCATAATCACCAGATTTCAAACTGTGAATTCACTTTTGCTTTGGTCTTTTAAATAAATCATGCATGTTTTCCATATGGGGCCCCACACCAAAACTCCTTTTTAATCTGGGAAAACATTTCCAAAATCCAAGTTAGTATCCAAGCTCTGGGATATTAATTTGATTTTGGATTCCTCCCTAAACTTTCCATGTTTAGCAATCTTTTTGAACTGTCCCTTGGGAAACACATGTTTGTATTACACATATTCCATGTCTTTTAATAGTAACGTTTAGAAATTCAGTAGGAAAAAAATAATGCCCTTGTAAATTTGATCTCTTTTGCAAACATCAGAACATGAAATGTTCATTGGCTTACTCCCCCTCTAGGTTTACATTAATAAACCATCAATTGTAAGCCCAACCACCCAATTCCAAAGAAACTTCCAACTTTAATATTATATGCTGTTTTATTCTGTTGTACATTTAACAAAGGATTAAGGCATAATACATTTTTAATTAACTGAAATATTAATGGCAAAAGGCTTTTGAGAGACAAATTTTAAAGAATTACTCATCATAAATATGGTTTCAATACAATTTGTTTATAAAGCTGGGTAGAGAACAAGGAACGGATAATTACAACTTTTAAAAAGAGTTTTCCTTTTAAATGAAATGGTTAACTCATAGATAACAGCAAGAAATGTGGGAATATTCTTGGGGCTATGTACTAATTCACAAGCACTGAGATTTTCTACTTTTTCCCCAAGTTTTTGTGAAACGGCTTATATTAAACATGTAGAGACTGGATTGTGTTTCGCCAGCCAGACTCCTTAATGGGCCACATGTCACCACCATAAATGCCTCCCTCAGTAACCACTAGGAATCCTGAAGCTAATGAGCTCGTGAAGAGTAATGGACCTGAAACACAGCACTGACCTATCCAGTGCTGTCTTGCTCCACTGTCTACTCAACACAAAACAAGGTCAAGATTTTATGCTTTGTCCTTAATAGTATTTCAACACTGACAATGGACTAATTTTCATGGCTTTGAAAATTTTGAAGCTAATCAATCCAATTAGGGTTATGTTTGGCTAAATTTAACAGAAAACGACCAACAGTGGCTTAAGCAATTAAGTTTTGTTTCTCAAGTAAATTAGACGCCCAGAAGGAAGCACTACAGACATTAAAGAAGTCATCAAAGATTGAGGTTCCTTCTAGTTTTCTGCTCCATCTTCCATGGTGTTTGATTTCCATGATGACAAGATGGTCGCTCCATCTGTAGATGGAGCCTCACATCTGAGGCCTTACCTGGAGGAAGGACATACATAGGACCAGCGTGCATGCCAGCTGAGTCTGCCCCTTGTTTAACAAGGAAAACACAGCATTCCTAGAAGCTCCGCCAGTAGAATTCTGCTTGTATCTCAATGGCTGGAACTTTCTCATGTGGGCCACCACTAGTTGAAAGGGTAGTTTGGAAAATCTACTTCCTTTTTGTTGAGTACTTTGCTTCCCCCAATAAAATCAACTCTCCATTGGTAAGGAGAAAGTGAGGAAGAAGAATATTGGGTAAGCAAGTAGGAGTGGTTGAAACA